GTTACCCTGATACTTTTTCAAAAATTTTGAATTTTTCGATTTCAGTGAATACCTTCTCGACGTTCATGTTCCCCTGATACTTTTTCAAAAATTTCTAATTTTCCAATTTCAGTGAATACCTTCTCGACGTTCATGTTCCCCTGATATTTTTTCAAAAATTTCTAATTTTTCAATTTCTATACTCATAAATTTGCAGAGTCGTTTACAAACAAAAAAATTGGAATTATAATAATTAATTAATAATTAATAAAGAATTAATTAAAGGACACCCCAGCATTGCGTGTGGTGCCCTCCCTCTCCTGGGGTGCAGTACTACGATGCTGCCGGGGTCACTGAAACCCCCAGATCTGAGACTCTACTTTAGTCAATCCTCTTTGGGACATGCTGCCAGACTGCGGTCAGCTGTGATCTCCACTGACAATCATAACCTAATTAATTCCCGAATTAGTCAAAAGAACTAAACTATTATATTATATGAAAAAGAATGCGTACAACAGTTGAGAAAAATAACCCCCACTTATAAAGAAACGAAAAGAGCGTAGGAACGACATAATGTTTGGATTGTCAGTTCGACGTGAGAGTTACATCTTACCCCAAATAATCAGAAGATCATACGTTGATGGACCGAGTTTTCGTGAACGTTGGGCTGATATGGATGAAGAGGAAAAAGAAAGAGTGAGAAAGAGCAGAAAATTGAAGGCTTGGAGAGCACCGATGGAGCCGCAAGATCACTATTTGCAAGCGTTCAACATTAGTACCAACAAACACGGGTTCTTCAGTAATAAATTTAGCTTAAAGCTTACAGACTGGTTCAGCTGGTACAAACAACATCAAATGGATTATGTGAAATGGAGCCAGAGGTACATTCCAGAGCGTCAGCAAACCCTGGGAAATGACTTGGCTCTTGCACACTTCGTCGTTCACAGAAATGGTAAAGTCCGGATGAAGGGCTCCCAAACGTTTATGGACATCAAGAATGCACTCGACCTACCAGATACATTTACCCCGAACTGGTTCCTTGAAGAGGTTGATGTAAGTGGTACCGAAATATGTTACGAAGGCCTCGAAAATTTTGCCAATCTCGGGAGACTGAAAATAGCGGCTTTTAGAAATTGTCAGTATTTTGATGATTGGTGTTTGGAGAGAATCTTGAACATGTGCCCAAATCTCGAGGTACTTGATATCTCAGATAATGTGAAAATTACAGAGCGGGGATTGGAGGGAGCTTACAGAAACTGTAATCTTAAAAAATTGATCGTCACGGATTGGGGATATGGAGTAAGCTTTGAATTAGTTTGCTTAATGCTAGAAGATGCTGTACCTGGACTGCAAGTGGAAATTAAAACTCCTACGGTAGCAAATGAAAAGTTGAATGCAAGTCCAGATGTTGTTGCAGAATCCACAATCAAAAGAGATCAAGTATTTAAATAGGCATTATTCCTGATCATTACGCACTTTTCTGCTTTATGAATTTCCGTTGAACCAAGTATAATAGTGTAAAAATTATTAACAATTTTCAGGATTCATAGGCTCTAATTTTGTGTAGTTCGGATCGTATAAATACATGAAATTGGGAAAACTCCGAATAAATTTATTACGTATTATTGCCATTTATTATTTTATTAATGTCTCACTGCGGGACGAATTTTATTCTTTTCCCTGTGACGTTTCCTATAATGAAGTTCAACTCTATTACACACACCATAATTTTTCATGTTTTCCTCATTATTATTAAGAGGGACTTGATCAAAACAGATATCATATTTTTTCCATATGTGTCTCCAACTTATTTTCTTGTGAACTTTCTCCCGTTTCAGAGACAAATTCGTTTGACACTCTATTGCTTTCTTGAGATCTGAAACTGTCGTATTGTTGGGTGGAACCTGAAAATAAAAAGTTGATTTTTCGTTATTTTCGATGACACTTGTTTATTCAGTCAATGGAAGGAAATTACTTACCACCACTGCGAGTCTTGGAAGTGCTCCTCTGTTCAAATATACGGTAATAGCTTGACCTTCTGCAACTGCAACTTGGGCTTTTATCTCATCCACTGTTGCATCTGATGGAAGTCCACGAAACAAGGGATCACTTTCGATAATTTTGTCAATAGCTTCTTTTGTTAAATTCACCAACTCTTCGTGACTCCATTGAACGTCTTTGATTCGCTCATTTTCTGATGCATTATTGACGTCTTGCATTTTGATTAATCAAAAAAGTTTTTTCAGCATAAGTTTGTCTTTGTATTTGACGTTGTTTGTTACCGTCTAAACAAGGACTCCAGGCTAGATCGATTTGAAGTCCAACACTTACTCCGCTGAAATTTCATAGATGGCACTATTAATCCACTATTTTATCCGCGAAATTTGAAAATACATTTAGTAAAATTAGAACGTGCAGAAAACGTTCAACTATGGAACAATGAACAAGGGATGGAAAATAATTCCACCAACGTGAAAAAACATTACCGGAAATCATGAATTTCAATGACTTATCCTGTTTCCAGGTGCAAGGCGGAGCTGTAAAATGGGGGTAAAAATGAAGGGTGAAAAAATCACGTAAAAGTATTAATAATAATATACAAATTTATACTACATCCTGATTTCAAAATTTTAAGGGAACTGGAAGTCGGCTAAATTTCGTGGTGAGGGCGGGAAAATTCGAACGTGCGCTCCGAATTCATAACTTCTAATTAAAGAATTTGGCTTTAATTAAAATAATCGAGGAGTAAAATTAGTTTTTAATAAAATTTCAATGATATTTCGACGTGTTTGTCGACGTCAAGGGGAAGGGTTTCATTCATTGAAAAATTTTTACAAGGATTTTATTATCCCAAGTGAGAACTCACCTTGAATCCACTCTGGAGAATAAATGTCCGACATTTATTTCCGATACTAACGTACAGTAATAGCTGTCATTCAGAGAGGGATGCTGAACTAAACACAATTATTAAACTGTATTAACCACGAAAAATGGCGGAGAAACCTGGTGAGTGAAAAACTGTCCAACGGTTTAAGAAATAAATCAGGTATTTTCTAACCAATAAGGTAAGCATATGGTAAGAGAATCTACTTTTCACTGTTGATAACCAGATGAAGAAGTGGTGTCGACACAGCAGCGTCTGCAATCATCTCATGATCCAGGATGGAACGATCCTCCAAAATGGGCATTTACTCCTACACCAATCACAAGTGGAACTCCAACAAGGAGATTGTTAAACAAAAGAGTGGCTTTTCCATTGGCTTCAACTCCATTTCCAGAGAATCCAACTGCTCTAGGTCAATCGTTACCACCGAGTAGTTTCCCACCACCTCCATCGCAATTGCCAAATCGAACAACTGCACCACATGCTCCTCTATTGGCTCCTACAGTAGCAGTAAACGCTCTTGAAATTACTCCTTTGATTGGCGATAAAGAGGATGGGTTAAATAAAACTTTAGGAAATATTCAATCTGTGATAAATAGTCAGTTGGATGACACTAGAACCGAGGAGGTGCAGAAGAGAATGGAGATGATGAAGAATATGTGGATTTCGGGAAAACTCAATGATGAGATTCAGGGGAAGGTGTTAAAAATTTCTGAAGGTAGTTCTACTATTTTTTCTTCGAGGAATTGAAAGAAAAATAATTCTACCCCTTTTTTTCCAGCTTTGAGAGACAGGGATATCGACACGGCAGATAAACTTCATGTATCACTGATGATAGAGCACAACACCTTGTGCAACAATTGGATATCTGGTATCAGACATCTGATTCTCGAGCTCAGGTCAAAGGCCACTGAGTCTGAAGGCATAGCTGACATCAACTCTCAACCCGTCTTCCTGTTGAATCCAACGGAATCAAAGTAATCTTAATGTCTATAAGTTTTAAGTTTAATAAAGCGCTTTGAAAGAATATTTTATATTCATCGGAATTATTTTCTTTTTACGAGGACTAATTTTATTCCCCCATTTTATTTTCCAATATCCAAATATATTTCACAATCATTAATTCTCTTCAATTGTAACTCACCGATTTGAATTTCTGGCTTTATTAGACAGAATTTTCCTCAACTCAGTTTTCATTTCGATACATTATTAAACAATCATATTTCTTGTTCACGTTTAATATTGACGTGAATATGAAAATCATTGTTGATTTTATTTTAAAATTTTTTGTGCAATTGATAATGAGAAAACTTTAGATTTAATTGCACTCTCTTTCTGACCTGCCCTGGGTAACTATCGATAAAATAGTTCGCCAAAAGCCTTCGGTTCAGTTCGAAACGATAAAAAGTACCATCCACCCTTGACTGCTCGACTTATCAAGTAATATCTCCGGCACATCCACGACTTACCCATTGCAAATAATAAAATACTTACGACCACTTCCACTTCCTCGCGATCCCATAAACATACGTTAAAAAATTTTTTCATCAACTCCTGATATTCCTCTACAAGTGTATGAATAAAAAAAATTGTTCGCCAGATGGAAGACCAGTGATGAAGGAAGATAAGCCCGAAAAACCGTGGTTAAAGTGGAAAGTATATTAATTGTCAATCATCCAGTCAATCTTTTGCACTAACTTTAGAATTTATTTTTGTTCATCTCTTTCTCGTACGGCTCTTGAAATTTTCCAAGGATTGTTAAGTGGATCAAATAATATGCGGAAAAAATTTCATAAAATTTTCTACTTTTTTTCATCCCGAGTCCATACTATAATATCCTTAATGCAACTCTCCCCAACTGTATTATCCCGTCGAGAACAAAATGAAACGTGACGGATAGAAATGAGTGCAATTCAAATAATTTAGATATTTCAAGAGTCCGAATGTGCACTCGCGCATCTGAAATTTTCCAGTCAAGCAAATTTTTTACTTTATATTTTCGCTTTTCCGATGATAATACAATTATAAATTTGTGGGAATCGGGGGATTCCCGTATCGTTCAATTTCATCGCTATCCACTAGGTGGAAATCTGCAGTACTATAGTGAGAAAAAACTTGTTGACTCAGTGCTGTAAATCGCAGAGAAATTGCACTCAAACATTTCGATTTAAAAAAATTTCATAGATAGATCATTGACTGTTGACAGTATAAGAAAATAATCCCCATATCATTACCTGAAATATGGATACGATTACGATTAAAATTCGTTCAGAAGGAGTACGGTACGCAATTACTAGATGTAAGAGTGAATTTTATTATAAATTTTTCTCCGCGAATAATCGTCAGGGAAATTTATTAGCTATTCTATAAATTCTGGCATTTCCTGTCGCCCAAAGGGCCGCGATATCATAGTAATTCAATACCTAATCACCTTTCTCAATTAAATTCATTTTTACTAACGCCTGAAATATCTTATTCATTATTCCCAAACGTCATATTTTCAATACCTGTAATTAAAAAACCTCGATAATTGGTATTAATCGTTAAAATTTCCAGTGGCCAATGGGATGGCATTTCCGAGTGGATTTTGTAAGTGAACGCAGTGCCCATAACCCTTATTGATTTTCTCATGGTAAATGAGAAAATCTATAAATTACTCCTGTTCGACTAGGGTGCGTTCGATTGGGGTGAGAAAGAGGGTGATCGGGCCAGAGTGTCACACCGTGGATCATCGGCACGAATTGCAACGCTAGTCCTGGCAGAGGGTGCAACACCCTGAAAAAAATCCAGGAATTCCTGGAAGTGACTTTCCTGCATATCCGCAGGTGGTTCGCCCTGATTGGCGAAAAAATTGGCATTGTCCCCGAGGGAAATGAAAGAGCCTTAAATGAAAACGTCCTGGCATAGTCTCTTCGAGAATTCCGCGGATATTGCTACCTCGTTAGCACCATGGTACTAGCCACTAGCACGCAGTACTTCACATGGGGGTTGGCACTGGCCGAGAGAGATAAAGAAAAGCCCTGAGCCATTGATGAAGAGAGGGGAATTGCAAGAGAGAGAGAGAGAGAGAGAGAGAGTAGCAGTTGTGTAGCACAGAGGGTACAATATTGATCTGTAGGATGGGGTAGTTCGAACGCAAGGGGTGGAGTGCTGTCAGGGGAGAACTAGCTGCCCCTCCAGATCCTCCCCTGCCAGGTTGAGGGTGGCTTTGGAAAATAGTGGTGGGGAATATTCTTGCGTGGTGGTCCACTCCGCAGCTTTACGCGGAAATCGGAGGAAACATAGCACTGGTAGGAGGCGACCCCTTCTGACAGCGGGAGCGTCGCGACGCTCAGCCCCTACGGGCCTTGATACATACAGGTGCTGCCCCACCAGCCATCTGTTTGTACCAAAAACCACCTCTCTCTCTCTCTCTCTCTCTCTCATTCTCACCCTCCAACGGCTATACAACACCATGCCACCCTGTTCTCTGATACTGGCTCCATCACAGCATCCTCAGTTACGTTGCAGCCCTTCCTCCGAAGAGAGTGGCTCTTCATTCTCGCGTGTTTTCTACGTGCAGAGGGGCCTCCCAGGGATATAAAAACGATAATAAAACGGTGAAAAATACGGCCTCTCGGATATTTTAACGGGCCAAATTGGTGAGCACCTGTAAATCGTGAACTCTCTTCGGTTATGACTCGAATAGAATGTAATAATGCAAATTTATCATCCAATTTCATGAATGGAAACATTCTCACTGGGGGAAATGTCAGTGACTCTTTGGAGCATTGATTGAAATTTATTAAAAATTATCATTGGCAATGTGGTTCGGTGTATGGAGAGACTTGAATCGGGATTGAGTGACTGTTGTGACGGTTTTTTTTTTTTGTCATTTAGGGGATTAGGTGATGTTGATTGTCGTGGAGTACAGGTGGTTGATGTACAATGTGTCGGTGGATTGGTTTCATCGTCATTAGCGCTGTTTTATTGTAAGCCCAGGGTGACTGGGACAGTTGGATCTTCAAAGACTCCGAGTACCTGTGATCGTGTCATCGTGATAGGTCATTCACACTTGGGTATCAACTGGCAAAGGCAACGTGTGCTCTCCGCGTGAAGTAGCAGTGGGTGGAATACTGCCAGCCTCTTGGCACTCGAGGTTCTCTTTTGGTCGGATAATCGTTTCGTGGTAAAATCACTATTTTGAACACCTGTAAACCAACCAAGAAGAAAAATAAACGATCACTGGATTAACAAAGGCCACAGGCACGTTAAAAATCCCGGGGATCCCTCTTCCTAGATTATCATCGGCATTTCTGCTCCTCATGTTGATCCTCTCCTCAATTTCATTGTCATTTTTATCATAAGGTGAGTGCTTATCTCAATGGCTGAGACATCGAAAGCGGAAGAATGTTCATGAGACGAGAAGAAATTGATCGGCGAGGCTATCAGTGACGATGTTTGAGAGCTTTTCACGGGAAAATTACTCTTTCCATAATAAATTATATTTCCGTGATCAGGAAGTTGGAATTAATTTTTTTATTTATGCCATTTCTTTTGCTTGTGGGTGATGCTTTGGGGGCGATACTTGCACAGTTTTTCTTTGCGATTTTTAATCTCCTGTTAAAGATGATTACCCGATTGTCGGATTTGGGCGATGAGTAATGAATGTTGAAATAAGTGGAAGAGCCAAATGGTTGGCGCGACGCCGGAATCGGAACCCTGTTGCTGGGTGGTTCCATGTTATATTTCGATTTTCGATTAAAGATTCAGCCCGATCACGGCAGATTAATTCAGCGGTATTCTCGGCTTCAGGTGGTGATTGAGGAACCAAACGTTTCCTGAATATTCCTTTTTTCCCTTTTTTCATTCTTTTATTAATGTGGAAATTTAAATGTGGATCTTTATCTCTTTATCGTCTTCATTTGGATTTTATTTCAGTTAAACTTTTAATTTTCAATTCTTTGAGTTTATTTTTTCTCTTCGCGATTGATAATTATCTTTCTGAGCTTTTACTCCCATCACTGGGTATTTGATAGTACAATACGCACATTATAGTAAATTATAAGTAAATATTCACCAAATTCAGGGAGAATTGGATTTTACCCACAGCAACCAGATGATTGCTTACCATTAGTACAATTTGCTATTTCAATTGGAGCGAAAATTTTCGAGTAAATACCGCATTTGGTTTGTTTTTACTCAATTGAGTTAATCAAAACACTGATGAACTGCTGAAGGTAGAGTTAGAATCATTTGCACTAGAATAATCATGGTTAAAATCATCATACCTAAAAAGATAAAGATAAAGATTGCCGATAAAGATATCAAACGTGTCGTGAATCTTCGTGATCTACATCCATGACACTTAAATCTGTCGACACCAATCCGTCCAATACCGATTTGAATAAATGATGGAAAAATATTTTTAACCGCGATGAGCATTAATTTTTGTATACCGGGCATATATTTGCAACGAAGAGGTACGTTATCGTGCTTCTGGTTCGAGAATCACTGTCATTAATAAATGTGCGCGAAGAGTGGAAAGAAGAGATAGAATTCACCGAGAATATTCCCATGGAGATGGGCTTGAGAGAATGAAAAAAAAAATAGGAAAGAGAAGAAAAACTTTCACCCATAGTCATACGATAAAACCACAGGGGACATCACTTCCATCATTTTTCTCCCCCCCTCCCTTCCTCGGGAACGCCGATTAATCAATTCTCCCCAGAGGCGTACGTTCTAACCGGAATTAATTCCGAAACCTCCCACTTGCATTCTTCTCCGAAAAAACCCAGTCATTGAGTATTTTCTAATTTTCTTTTACTGAAAATTGATTTAAGGATATCCAAGTAACAGTGCATCATTTATTTCTTATAAATAAATCAGTTCAATTGTTCAAGCCTTCAAGATCTGGATTGTCATTCATAAATAATTTATTTAAAAAGATTTTCTCGAGTAATCAAAATTTATTGGTATTGAATAGCATTTTATGAATTAATAAGGTATACGCCCAAATCGATTTATATCGATTTTAATCAACACTGGTG